TATATATATGTATAGCATGCCTTGGAGGTAAGTTGGTTTATTGTGACTTTCTGAATGTGCTTGGAACACTTGTATTTGCAAGGCAAAACAATTGGCAGGGGATGGGGAATATACATGGCTCTGCACCATGTATTTTAAAACACTTTCACTGAACTGTCTCTCACTTGCCCCTGTTCTTCCCAGGTATTTTGTTGGTGTGTTAGACAAGGACTCTGGGCAAATAGAAGTCTATAATGCTGAAATATTCAACATGCAGCCCTTGCTGTCAGGTAGGAAGATACTGTGTTTAACCCCAGCACCAAAGTCACAGCATGCTAGACCTATTGACTGCTTGGTTGCTGACAGCAGTGCTCTCTATTGTCTTCCTGGCTGCTCTTTCTTCCTCATTTCTGCCTTATTCCCTCAGCATGGAGGAACGAGGATACATTGCACTCTCCTTCTAAGGCACTGCATGATGTGAAAAACAGAGAGAGAAGGAAGCAAGGTGAAATTTAGGGTGGAGTTAAGCAGAGAGCGTTATGGGTGGGAGGGTGGAAGGGCTGGAGTCAGTAACAAAGTTGTCACTGTTCAGAATAAGTGCAGCCTTGTCTAGGTATGCTCTGCTGAGGGAAGCCTGGAAATTGCCAGGTGAAGGGACTGGATCACTGAAAATCAAAAGAGCTTTTCTTTAGCAGAACTGCTTTCTGTAACTGAACCCAGGAGGATAACCCAAAGAATACAGTCTTTTGGGAGTTTATTTTTCCCCTGTGCAGCAGGACCTGAGTATTGCTGCAATCCATGCATTATGCTCATAGGCTTTATAGCAAAAATTGGCCTGCTTTTCCTTTTTTGTTCTAGGTACATACTCTTAAATTCAGTGTGTTCTTTAATTGACAAAGTCCTATGGAGGAGATCTTAAAGTGTTGTGCCAAGTCTTTCAGTAATGGATTAGAGCTAAAGGGATACCGAATATGTATGCTGTCCTGGCTGCTGCAAGCCAAGCATACTAACTTTTGTTCTTTTATAGATAACTTAATACCTGACGACACGAAGGATTATCAGAATAAATCCTACAGGGAGAAGGTAAAGTTGAAACCCCATATCGTATTCTACTGTGATTATCCAGCTAACAGTGGCAGATGATACTTGTCTGAGACTGTGGTGTTTGGTTTACTGCAGGGTAAACCTGTGCAGGTTCAGCACTCTCTCTGTGCCTTGGAAGTCTATAAGACAGCGCATTATTAGTGCTTAACTTGGCAATATTTTCATAATTATTTCAGACTTGATTACAATCCCAGTTACTTCCTGCCCCCTTGCAGATCAGCGCTTGTTCTATGGTTGGGTTGTGCCCAGTGAAATGTTTGAAGTTTTCTTAGAGAATGTGAATGTGGAACAAATGGTGGTTAGCTGAGTTTGTCTCTTAGATGCAAAGTGTCTTCAGTTCAGCAGTGTGTTTTAATTTGCTTCTCTCTTGCACAGATGGATTTGTGCATTGAGGCCTTTGGTACCAGCAAGCAGAAGCGAGCTCTGAACACTCGGCGAATGAATGCAGTGGGCAATGATATTCTGAATACTGCTGTGACAAAAGCAGCAGCAAACATTATAGATGCAAAGGGAGTAACAGGTAAGAATATTGTCTCAGGGTTTAATGAAGGGAATCAGAAGTGCCTTTTTCTGTCTGTTCCTTGCCAAGTATGGTAGGAAGAAGAAAGGGGTTTTCTTCGAGTGGCCAAGGAAGCAGCTGGCCTAGCAGCTGAGAAGGCACATGTGGGGAAACTTGCAAATCTTTCTGGTGGAAAAGGAACTGCTTCCTTCTGATCCTGCTAGACTTAGTGTGGGAGTTGCCTGAATGAGGGAAGGATCCTGTGGCATCAGTGTCCGTCCCTGCCCATTGTTGGGAGCTCTTCTGGGAGTCCCTGGGTATCAGTTTACTGGGATCAAGGCAGTACGTTCACCTGGTCTGAACTGAGATGCTGAATATTCATTAAGGTGAACTGTACCCTGGCTTCACAGTGGCATGTCTGTGGAAAATGGTCCATGCTCTAAACCAGGTCAGAGCCCCATCAAGTGCCGTCCCCAGTGCTGTTGTGAGCCGGGCTGATGGACTTGGGCTTCTGCTATGGAGGAGCCTACAGCAACGGGGAGTCTGCTGTGGCCTTATTGTCACTACTGCAGGGAAAGTTCACTCTCCAAAGCATCACTCTGATGTGGTGTTTCAAGGAGAGTTGATAGCCCTACTACTGAGTGCTGGTGAGGCTGCATCTGTATTATGTTGTCCAGCCTGTGCACCCCCCTGTGCCCCCACCCTGATCAAGAATGAGGTGGAGAAATGACAGAGGAATCATGGCAGGGCAACAAGAACAGGCAGGGGTCTGGAGCACACAACTGACAAGGAGAGGCAGAGGGAGTTGCGCTTGGTTAGTCTGGCAAAGAGGAGGCCAAGGAGGATCTAACAGCAGCCCACAGCTACCTGAATGGCAGTCAAAACCAAACCTTTCTCGGCAGTGCCAACAAGGGTCAACAGCGTAAGTTGCAGTGGTTCCTGGACCTTGGGAGGTCCACGTGGAAGACTGAGGGAACCTTCTTGCCTTGGAGGGTGGTGCAGCCCTGGGACAGGTCGCCAGAGAGGTGTGGAGGTGTGGAGTCACCATCCTTGGGGGTTTCCAAGCTTCGGCAGGACAAAGCCAGGGCTGCCCTGATGTAATGCTGTAGACAGTCCTACTCCAAGCAGAAGGTTGGACAGGAGACCTTCAGAGCTCCTTTCCACCAGCACTTCTGGGATTCTGAGTTTCATTGGCTATGAATGGGAGAGATGTCTGCTGACTATAGAACCCGTCAGCTCTCGTCCCTTGTGTTCCAGGTTGGACATTGACTGTGCTCTCAGAGCTGCTTTGTGCCAAATGGATGTCCAATGGAACCCAGGGTGCCAAAACCATATTCTGCCCACCCTGCAGGCAAAAGGTGCAGCAGCACACACTAGTTTGTCTTGGTGCACTTCTTCCCGAGATTTTTCTCTAGTCTGGAGTGGCTATTCTAAATTTTAAGGAGCAGAAAGTTCGTGGTAGAAGTGATGACACCAGTCTAAAACCCAGTATGCTCAATACATAGCAGGCATATCAAAAGCTCTCAGCCTTTCTGTGCCTACTGGAATGCTTTCTGTACAGTCAGCACCTACATGTGGCAGTAACGAAACAAAATGGGGAAGAGCTGTAGCATTTTCCTTACTACTGTCCCAAGTGAGATAAACTGAACTGGAGTTTTAAACTTTTAAAACTCCAGCTGTGACTAAACTGGTGTTGACCCAAGAACCAGCATTGAGTAGACTTGTGTTTAAAGGAAGGATTTGGGTTGCGGTCATGTTCTCTGTGTTTTTGTTTGCATGGTCCAAATACTCTCTTCTTTCCCGCTTCCCTTCAAAGCTTTGATCCAGGATGTGGCCCAAGATGATGTACAGAACATCTCCATCTTCCTCCCACCGTGTAATGAAGATGCTGACAAACCAGAAAATGTTTACAAGTTTGAGGACAGTATCTTTTTCTGTGGCAGAGTGGTTTCCCACGCCTGTAAGCCTCAATGCCAGTGGTCTGGCATGCGGGAGTGAGTGCTGCTAGGTGTGTGAATGAGCTGAGCCTTCTCCCCTCACAAGGCAAAAGCTGAGAACGGGGACATGCTGTGTTGAGGTTTTTGGGCCTGCAAGTCCTATATCCTGCCTCTTTCCTACAGGGAGCAGGATGATGTGCCTCCCTGATGGCAGAAGCTTGATTGGAAATAGTAATGAGGTCAGCCATGCAGGAGAATTGATTTGTGGTTGAGCCACAGTCCTTTATAGAGACCTTGTTATTGGCCAGCTTCCTAATCTTATCATTACATCCTGCCTATTTATAATTTCCTTCCCTCCTTCCCTGCCTCACACCTCCTAAAGCAAGAGTGGACAGAGCGTATCTCGGTGTAGTTCAGACCAGAAGGGAGAGAAAAGGCATGCTTGTTCTTTTCTTTAAAATCCTTCCAGTTCTGTCCCCAGCAGAGTATGAAGCATTGCAGGTTCCAGCAGCAGTCTTTGTTAACATCACTCCAGAAGAAATCACCAAGAAAACAGAGGATAAAAGGTAATGCTGCTGCAAACAGCCTTGTAATAGTCGAGGTGGGCCCTGTGAAACTAGTTTTTCGATGGGGCAGGATGGCTCCTGCTGCCAGCTCCACAATACCCAGGCTGATTTTTTTCAGTGCAGAGGGAGGACATTTGATCCAAGCATGGCTGAGCAACCTTGGGGAATACGGGGTATAGTTTTACAGGTGAGGAACTTGTGTGCACAGCAGTATGGCTGCCCTTTGGGGAACTGATTGCAGAGGAAGAGAGTGGAGGAATCCAAAGTGGAGTCTGAAGGCAGGTGCCTAGAAGGGGACCACAGAGCTGTGCTGAGCATGCTATGCCTGTGGCTGGGCATGTCCCAGCCAAGTACTGACTTGCTGTGGAAGTTGCTGTGGTTTGGCAAGCTGACATGGATGTACACTTAGAGCTGTTAAGCCCTTGTGCTGAGGCACTGAAGTGAGCAGGAAAAGCACAAACCACATCTCACTCACTCCATGTGCTTCCTGTCTGCCTGTGCCAGAGTAGAGGTGTGTCTGTGTGCCATGTTCAGAGCCTGCAGTTTCTGCAGCGTGGGGACCTTATTAGTAGCTGCATACTGAAAGCAGCTGGCTGAATATTCTGTGCTCACAAAGCAGCTTCCTGGGCTATCCTTTATAGGTGTCCAAGGAACTCTTCTCAAACAGCTGAGCACTGAAGTCCTGATGATGTAAACTGGTCCCTGGTTCTTTGAGCCTCACCTTCCCCCTCTTTCTCCTTCAGCCATTGCTCCTTTGTTTTAGAGGAGCTGAAGTTCCTGCCTGCTGATGAGAAAAGCAGAGATCACAAAGCCCGATGCCTCTGGTTCCTGGACACCCTTATTAAGTTCAGCTACCTGAAAGTGATCAAGAAGAAGCGTAAGAGAGTTTTCAGTTCCTCCACTTTTAAGCTACCTGCTGAGACTTGATTTGTAATTACTGAAGTAGAAAACAGTAAAGCTGCCCAGAACGAGCTGTGATCAAACAGCTAGCTGCAGCAGTTGCTTTCAGCCTGTTTCATACCGAGGTTGAGGAGCTCTGTGTTGTTGAGAGTTGTTAGATTTGCGTCTGCTGGGAGATGTATGTCCAATCCTTTTCGGTCCTTTCGTAACTGTTGTGCATCAGGATGGCACCATGAGATCCTCTTGGTAGGAGACAGGGTAGCTTAGATTGGAAATTTTGAGATTCTTTCTAGTTTATCGACAGTTCTGTACTTATAAATGTCTTTTATATTTTCACACTTTAGTCCTAAGCCAAGAGGCTGGAAATTACCAGCTCTCTCCCTCATCCAGCCTCCATATTCCAGGTGCAAGAGGCATACAGTACACAGTACATTCTTTATATCTCCTTTTGTGCTATTGAGACTTATTAGCTCCATGTGTGGATCACAATGACCATACCTCTTTTGTCTTCAGGATCTTTCTTTAAAATGGCAGGAACTGCTGTTCTCAAAAGCACTGCACAAAATATTTTGGTTGAGATTTTCAAGTCTTGCCATCCTCCATAGAACTTGTGTATCTGAGACTCCTTGTCAGTGCTGAAAATGTCGTTGTTAGCATTTTCAATGGCAGGGGTGTGGTGGAGGAGGAAATGGCAAGCCTGTCCGTAAATATCTTCCTGCATTGCTGGAGACACAGGAGTCACCCTGTAGGATTTAGTCAAGGAGGATGTGGAAATGTCTAGTCTTGGTGCTAATAGGAATTTGTTAGTGTAGTTTCTGTTTTAATAATATTTTGTGACAGGACCATATATTAAAAGGCAAGAATCTATTAAAAGAAATATATGTGTAGGCACAAATGCATGCATTTTAGATTGTCTAGTATTGAAGTGGGAGATCCCATTTGTAAAGAAAATAAAAGCTCTTAGAAGCCTCTTTCTGACCTGAAAAATGATGAGACCTAGAAATCAAGTGCCCAGGTTCCTTTTAGGTTCTGTGTGTTCCTGGGAAAAGGCCATAAATGTCGTGGTAATAAATGTGCTAATATGATAGCTGCAGATGGGCAGTACAAGGAAGGGTATGTGTTTCTCATTGCACTGCAAAACGCCTTTCTGTCCTAGATCCAATGGGTCCTGAATGCCCACACATTATTAGCAGGAAACTCATGAAGAATTTCACTTCACTGACCTACAACAATGGCAGGTAAGGAACTATGTTTGCTTTGATGTTCGTAAGGCAGAGATATACGGCAGAGTTCAGCTTGAAGGGCTATGGACACATCATCAGGAAACCTCCTACCAAAATGGAAGATGGCAGTAGCTTCTCTTGCTTCACACCCCTGGCCCTGTAGAACACTGGGTTGTGGCTGGTGATAGTCCATTTTAGACAATGCAGGTCTAAAACGTGACTGGAAGAAGCAGCGTCATGTGTGCAAAAGCAAGCCTGTGGATTTAGCTAGCGTGACCAACTGGGGTGCCCAGCCATCTGCCTGACATTTCTGGATACAGGATGGCAGAACGGGTGCTTGCTTTGCAGCTGACTCTTGACTGTGCAGCTAAACAGGCAGCTGTCCGCACATACATTTTCACTGTGAACCAAGGCAGCTGACAGATGGATGTGTCAGCTCTTCTACCATCCCAGAGTGGGTCAGGACAGAGGTAGTGTAGTGGCTAAATAATGGTGCTTTACTTATACTCACATAGTTTAGTTAGCATAACAGGGGCACTTTTACATGAACCTAGACCTGATTTGACTTGTTTGGATTCTCCATTGAAAGCTACACAGACAAAATTCCGTAAAGATTTGCACTGGTTAACTCACGCTGGGATGACACCCATGCCATTGCACGTATATGTTTACAGGCCAAAGAGTTCTGCCTTAGCTTTTCCCAGGCATTGCCCCACCAGCAGTGACAAGGTTTGGTATAGTAAGGTAGGGTCTGGTCCTGCCATGGAGATCAGCCAGGAGAAGCCACCACCCCATGACTGGAGCAGAGGCTGGGAAGCTACTGCAAGATCCTCCTTTCCAGCAGTGTCAGAGCCACTTGTGTGGTGCCGAGTGCTGTCTCACTGCAGGGAGGACCTCGGGCAGCTATCGGAGACTGCCTTTGACCAGGTGGCCCTTGGCTGCAGCCTTAAGAAGAATACCGCTTACAACTATGCAGTTATAAATCTAGATAAATGTTTTCAGCAGTCATGTTGAGTGGAAGCACCAAAATGCAGGCAAGAGTGAATAGTATCTTCATTCTTGCCACAGTGCCTTCCCCACACTCGGGGAGCCAACAGCCTCTCTGCCTAGAATGCTGATGCTTAGCTATTGCACAGCTGCACTGCTGTTGTTAATCTGAGATGAGCAGAGAATTTGAGGATAAATGGGCCAGCTTTTGTCTGAAGGCTCAAACCAGTGACGAGGGAGGATTGCCAGCCAGGGATCTGCTTTGTGTGGATTGTGTATTTGAGGTGCCATTAGTAGTTACACTGAATGCCTTCAGAACAGCTTCCCTTTGCTTTCCTCTTGCAAGGGACCAGCCTGCCAAAGAGACTGACATGCCATTCGTTGGTGATTTTGTCAAGGCTGCATAGTGATAAACAACCCCAGGGGCCTGCACTTCTGAACAGAAACGGGAGCATGTGAGGAGGACAAAGAAGCCTGTTATCAGAGGCCCCTGTGATCAGAGGTCTCTGTTGCTTTGAGCTCTTTTTCGGTGCCTAGCAAAAGTTAGTCGTGTCTAACTGGGTTTTGTCTGCACCTCATGGGAGTTGTGTTTTGGGTTCACTGACACTCCACATCTCATGTGTTCTCCCTTTTGCCATGCAGTGTCCAGAATTTAATCTCTGCATCCATGAAGGCTAAAATCACAGCATACGTCATTGCATTGGCTCTGCACATTAACAACTTCCAAACAGACCTCACCAATCTGCAGAATGACATGAAGCTCCAAGAAAGCAGGTGAGTTGTCTTGTTTGTTCATACCTGCTGAGATATGCTGTGATCCTCCTACAAAGAGCCTGGGGAGAGAGCTCTGGAGCCTCTCTGGCACCTGGGTAGTACAGTGATACCTGCTAGTGAGTCCCTTTTGTTGTAATTGAACTGTCTTTTATGACTGTTGAAGCTTTATTTGGAGGCCCTGTTGCTTGTAAAGGAGGGTGGTTATTCATCTCAAACTTTGAAAGGGCACTTGTCACAAAGAGGTCCTCAGGTACATCAAGAGGCTCTTCAGCTATTCTGCAGTGAAGGAAACTGAGGCACGCAGCACCAAAATGGGCAGCCAGGGCAAATTCCAGGACAAGACCTATCCACTGCCACCCAGCCCCGTTTCTTGCCTGACAAATCATACCACTCTTCATCTTCCTGTCGTCTGTGCCCGTTCTTCCTGCAGAGCTCCAGTTCCTGTTAGGTACCAGTCTGGGTGTAAGCGCAGGTTTGCAGATGACTGCAATAGGAAAACTAGAAACAGGGATTATTTTCTCACAGTTGCACTGTGAGCCTGTACTTTACATGGTGTTTACATGGAGGATTCCCAGGTGCCTAAAATTTACCCACTCTGGGCTTGGCACCGAGAAGATTGGTTTTGTTTCTAAAATACTGATGGACTTGGACTTTTCAGCAAAGCATCATGGGGAGAGGTTGTAGGGAGAACTGCTGGCCAAATCAGGCCAGTGAAGGTGAATGGGTAGAAAACAGCTTGCAGAATAAGCTTCAGGGCAAACAACCCTTGCTGTGTTAGGTTTTGGGGGCAGTTGTTCTCTAGATTTTAATTTTCCATGGAAGAACACAGAAGTGTCGTGCACCTGCTGTTAGCTGCAAGACTTGCTTTTCCCAGCAGGTGTCAGCCGGAGCCTCCTGCCAGCTCCTCCAGCTTTGGGAGCTGTTTGCGCTGTTTGCCTCTGGCCCCTGCAGAATAAATCAGGAATTGAGCAGTTCCGATCAGCCAGTCCACTGTGCTTGCTGGGAAGTCTCCCAGCAAGCAGACATCAGCTCAGCAGGCAGCTTGTTAATGCTGTTTGGGAAGGGATCAGGTAGCCCCGTTAGTGACTGTTCAACCATGCTCATTGGTATCTCTCTCCCACCCTGTCCTGTTCTGTGGATAATGTGTCCCAGCAAGCACAGTGGACTGGCTGATCGGAACTGCTCTCATCATCCCACTTGATGGGATGATCCTTGCTTGGAGTGGGAGGTTTGGCTGAAGAACCCTTTCCAACTGAATCTGTTTGTTTCAAGATAATAAAGCCAGCTGGGAGGATTCTGGGACTTGTGTGTTCTCAGGACCGCAGCTGAGGCCAGGACACCTGTTTCCCTGCTAGCTTCCTTTTGGATGCACTTTGTTCTCTCTGTTTGACAAGCCTCCAGGTGTGTTCTGGCTTGTGTAGGGTGAAGAGCTTGGGCAAGGTGTATCTCAAACAAGCCCCTCTTTTTACAGCTAAGGATGCTGAATTTTAGTGGCTAAGAGGAGATGCTCTTGCTGTACTAGGTTCCATTCATCATACCACGCATGGAAGATGAGTGCACTGGGAAGTAAACATGGGCTGCCAGCAGCAGCAGCTGAACAAATAACACCTGTTCTCTTCTTTGTAGGGAAGTGGAGAGCAGCGTTATTTTTTCTCAAGTCAGCTGGCCATTGAGTAAGGCAATCTGGGTTTATAACGCTTTCCGAGGTGGTGGTGCACAGCTCAGTAGCATTCTGGCCTCCGCAGGAAGGCTAGCCTTTGTAGCCTTTGAATACTTCCAGCTTCTGTCTCCTTGGTATCCTTGAGATGCAGAGAATGCATCCTGCTTGCTGCCAGATGCCTCCTGGCTTCTCCCTTGATGCAAAAAGCTCTTGATCTTGTGTCATGCTACAGAAGACCTGTGTGCCCCGCTGACACAGTATTTCTCTGGTGTTTTCCAGGATGATGGACATCGCAAAGGCCATGAGGTTGAAGGTCTCCAAGGCAAAGGGGCTGCCGGGACTTGAGAATGATCAGAACCACAAGCTGGGCACTCTCTCTCTCCCCTTGCCTGTGCAGAAGGCATCAGGGAACCAACGGAAGCGCAAGAAAATGAACTAAAATGTCTCTGTGAGGTCTGAGCAGGGGCAAAACAGTTCCTTTCTCAACTGCTGTTCTGTACACAGAACATCATGGCGATGCTTTTGTCTGTTGGATTTGGCTGTCCAGCATCAGCACATGAAACCCTGTCTCAAGGCTGGGCTGGAACAGATGTTCACCTCATTAAACTGCTTTTTTTTTTCTATTTATGTAGAAAAAGCTATAATAAAACATCTGTCTTTTTTCCTGTCTCTATGAGGGGAGAAGGATGTAGGTTTGCTGGAGCAAGCGAACGTGGTTTGAAACTGCAGGTCCTCCACTGACTACTGTTTGGTTGGTTTTGGCAGTGACCTGTTGGCTTATGGCCCATTTTACCCCTTTTTCAGACGTGCAGAGTAGAAAGCATAGAAATAGACAGAGTAAGCAAAGCATTAGTTACACACAAATTTGGCTCTGTCTGTGTTTGTTTCTCTAGAGTTTCAGTGTAATTCTCTGTTGAAAAAGTGTAAAGATGCAACAGAGAAAATACTGCTGCTGCTTTCCTTATCCTGGCATCTTGCCTGGAGGAGGGAAAATTCTCCTGGCTCAGAGCTGTTGTCATCTTCAGAAAGGGTGATTAGTTTGAATCCACAGCTGGATTCCCAGTCCTTGGGAGAGAGACTTCTGTGTTAGTTTCTCTGTATTTTCGCTCTAGTCCTGGGCTGTAAGCCTCATTGCAGATGTTTACTAAGCAAGGAATGTAAATTCCAGTGATGTAAATTCCACAACCTCCCTGGGCACTGTGCCAGTGCTTGGTCGCCCTCACAGTAAAAAAGCATTTCCTGATGTTCAGAAGGAGCCTCCTGTGTTTCAGTGTGTGCGCATTGCCTCTGGTCCTGTCAGTGGGCACCACTGAAAGAGCCTGGCTCGTCCTCTTTGCACCCTCCCTTCAGGTATTTATAGACATGGATGAGATGGTCCTCCTAATGCTGCCCAGGACACCATTAGCTTCTGCTGCAAGGGCACATTGCTGACTTACGTTCAACTTGATGTCCACCAGGAACCCCAGGTCCCTTTCTGCCAAGCTGCTTTCGGGCTCGGCAGTCCCCAGCATGTCTAGCTGGTGCATGGGGTTGCTTCTCCTCAGGAGCAGGACTCTGCACTTCCCCGTGTTGAACTTTGGAAGCTTCTGACCTACCCAGGCTTTGTTCTCAAGTCCTTGGTAGAGAGAATTTGCTCAGGGAGCTGATGTGGCTGAAACTACTTTTTGTGGTTTTTTAATTCTCATTGGGATCTGGTCTTCTGCGTATCAGAGCCAGCAGCTCTGACTTAGATGGGTATGAAGCACTATTCTGAGATATATAATTCGTTTATCCTCTTTATCTAAATCTAGCTCATTGCTGCTGTGTTTCAGATGGTTGATACAGGCATGAGAAGGGGAGCAGACATGGATCACCCTGACAATGCCATGGATTTTTGGATGAAAAATTAACTGCTGTTGCAAAGCTGCTTCTGTGTGCCAAGGCGAGCAGAGGAGTAGAAAGCAGAGGTGGTTGCCTGACAAATCGAGCAAGAAGTGATGCTCTTTTCCATGATTTGGAGCCACTTGCAGCAGAGATGAGGATGTTAATAGCTTCTCTTGGCATCACTGCTGTGTGCAGCAGACTCTGTTCTGACTGCATCTGAGAGCAGCACCCCTGATTCAGGGAAGATGAGTGCTAATTTAGTCCAAATGGGAAAATGACTCATCTGCAATGTGTCTCACTATTAGCCGCTGCACTTTGGAAAGCAGCTATTCGCCTTCCCGATAACACGGTAGAGTTAGTCGCTATACGGAAAAAAGTGCCAAGGCTGGGATGTGGCAATGGGGGAGGGGGACCTGAGATCCTGTCATGGGGCCAGAGAGATGCCCGTCGGTGCTGGGCAGCCCCCACTGAAGCAGGCAGGACAGGGCTGCATGCAGGTGCCATGAAGAGGACTCTTACCAGGTGTGAACTACAGTAAGATGTAGGTAGCCTAGAGAGACTCAGAGCCCCCAGTCAAATACTCTCATCCCTGTTTGCATCACAGAGAGGGGAGTGTGAGTACGTGGTTTGATCCCTGGGAGACAACAGGAAAGGTTGAAAGGAGAAATCCAGTAGCAGTACGGAAAGATGCATTGCTGGAAATGAGGAGAGGTATTCTAACACTCTGCTCAACTTCCCGGGGTAACCTTACTCGAGAGCACATGCTGGACATTGAGAGTGCAAGAGACTGGGAGAGAGGCCGTGCACTTCTCTCCAGAGGCAAGTGTCCAGGCTGCTCTGTGGGAGACTGGTGGGCATGGCAGCCACAGGTTAGAGAACGCTAGCCCTTGCCAGAGCGCAGTGCCACCAGGACAGGCTGCCCAGGAGCAGGAGGGCCATGGCCACGGCTTTCCTTGGATGGCCACCAAACGGCTCTGAGCCCATGCTCCGACCACACCACACCTGCCCACAGCTGCTGCCTTAGCAAGGACGTGCCCTAGCCAGGCAGCGTCGGCATGTGTGAGCCAGCACAGGAGATGAGGCAGGACCTACAACAGGTTGCATTGTTGGAAGCATGTTCCCGTGGGAGCAGGGTGGCTCCCATGGCTGCCTGGTTTGAAGGTGACCAGAAGCTCTCCCCATTGCTCCTCTGCCACCACCCCAGGATCACTCCAGTACTTCACTAGTGTACAGACAGCATTGCAGTCCTCTTGATAAGGTGTCTGGCCCCCAGATAAAAGATTCCACAAATTAGGCTGGGTGCAGGCTCTTTCTCACACCTATAAGTGTAGGACAGTGTTGGGTTGGAGTCAGCTTCTCTCGGCGATGTTGACATATTGTCTCACAACTGGTTCCTGCACAGACAGCAGGAGGACAGGCACAGCAGCAGGGAGGCACTCAGCTTTCGCCAGTGCTGCCTTTCTGGAAACAATGAGCTCTAATTAACTTATGAGCAGACAAATGCGCTCTTTGAGCAAAGCAAAAGGCAAGGTCTGTGCTGTGCCAAGAAGTGCCCATGCAGGTCATGTACAGGCGCTAGGTTTGCACAATGTTCAGGTGGTGAAAAAGCCAGCAGAGCTCCAGATTGTGCCATCAGCAAGCTGCTGGGTCAGGGTGGCTGGGGGGCTGTTACCCACTATGTCACAATGAGTGCTTGAATTAGGGGTTTGCACAAGTACAGCAGCACCCCACGCTACTGCCATTATGCTCTCTAACCTATCCACTGTAATATAAGAACATGAAACATTTTATGATTGATTAGTGAATGCCACTGAAAGTTAATTAATGAATGCACACTGAATTCTCTCCACACAAGGAGAGAGTACTATTTTCTCACTTTGACTCTGAAAGTCCTAACTGACCTGACCAGTCAGAGTCTCAAGCACATTTAACTTAAAATTGGAAGATTAATTGGGAAAGCAAACTTTATTTTTGCTTTCCTTGTGAAGATTAAGTCAGTATGAGCACTTGGATTTTTTCCATAGTGATTGATAGTATAAACATTAACATTTGAAGACACTATTTGAACTCTACTTCCAGCTCAATCTGTTGGAAGTTTGAAGATACATGATCATGTGATCTCTTCCAGGTCTTACTCCATATATTGAAATTAACTGCTTACTCATATTCTGCTATGTGAAGTGAGTTAAACTATATGTATTTTGTGAGCAATTTTCTGTATGCCTGCTTGACAGCATGTGGATCCTCCATGGTGCATTTTGTTGCCCCAAAGTACAAAAAGCACAGAATGAAAAGGATATTAAAGCTGTTGTAAAGATCCCAGGTCTCACTGTTTTTTGTTTGTTTGGGTTTTTTGGGGTCTGGCTGATGGAATTCAGAAGCCTCTGGGAAGTGCCTGAACACAGATGTTGTCCTAAACCCCAGGGTTCAGACCACTGCAGGCAGCCCCAGGCATTACAGGTGCCCCATCTTATTTTTTAGATTCTCAGCATTGGCTTAGACGTATGTGCAAGTTCAGCCCACTCCATCTTCAGTGTGCCAGAAGAGTCTGTGCCTCCACATCTATTGCAATTG